GTCCAAAAAGTAAAAAGATTTCAGGATTTTATCATGAGCTGATATCGGTTAGAGAACCATTGTATAACCAGCAAGGAGTAGTGGACAGTTGTTTCGTCACCCTAGTTTGGGACTCTTCAGCAGTACGCACACACCGCTAGGGTTTAAACCGAAGACCTTCCGGTTACAAGACGTGCTCGTGGACCATTAAGCCACTGGAAACCGATCCAATGACCACTCAAAGAATTCCAACTTCTGCTAATTCATGATACAGTGCAACCACTATCCAATGTCACAGTTTGCAAGTTTTTGTCCTCACACCAAACTATAAAGAAATGGCTATCCAGCAACCACACGTTTCCCAACAGTTCTCCAGTCGATGTCAGCTCACGATAAAATCCTCTAACTAATCAAATCTAACCACTTCAAAACCAACACTTGAATAAAAAGTTATTCCTTCACAGTACCGAGTTTTCCACTTGTCAGTTTTCTTCCACATTTTTTATAAAACTTAGAGAAAAAAATTTATGTGAATATGCAATCATTAATTTTTCATCTTTGTCTTAAAACTGAAAGAAGAAACTACATTCCCATGAATACAGCTAAGAAAAACACTTCTAATTTCCCGCAATTATGTTTCAATGTTCAATATTGTTTTCTTATGTCTTATTTTTGTTGCACTAGAGAAGGAATTTTCGGTTGTTTCTTTTTGGTACAAAAAAATACAGAGAAATTGAAATTAATCATACAGGATTATTTGTGTATGTTTCTTAAAGTGTTGAGTGTTAGTTATGCAATTCAGTTTCTTTGGAGAACGTTAATCAAATATTCTCAGGCTGTCAATGTTAAGCATACTACTGCTAATATACTACTAAGTATGCCATGCAGATTATTGTATGAACTGGATAACAAGGAACGAATGACAATGGTAAAGTATGATGGATATTTTAGAAAATGGACCGATCACTTTGACTTGTTATGGTATACAGAATGCAGTTATTGACTAAGACATTATTTCAGAGACAGTACCAGGACTGTTGAAACTACGTGAGTCAGATTAATGACACAGAGGAAACAGCTACCGTGGGACAAAAATATAATGCATTTATTTTTACAAGTTTAAATATGGATGGGTAGACAGGTTGAAAAAAATAATGTCTAAATGATAACTACAGCCAGATGAATGTGTCTACCAGGGAAATCCGAATTTCAGTGGAAGCACTAGAATCCATGATGAACTCATTATGTCCTGTTTGGAACCCGTTAGCTGGACACGCCTGCAATCCCACTGGGACATGAACCCTACACCAGTCGTTTCAAATGTCAAAGTGTTATTCACTAGGCTACTTAGGTTATATCATTTTAGTCTTCAGTCCTTACTAGGAGCCTAAATGTCTGTCAACAGTATAATCATTATTCGGGAAATACAATGTTAACTAAAACATTCAATGGAAGCTATTCATTATGAAATAAAACAAACTGACAGTAGTAGGGTTACCCTAGCCATGATAAGGCCAATGAGGGTAAGTATTGCTTTTGTGAAGACAAAGGCCTCGTTCCCGATGCCGAATAGACAATGATTCAGAGATGTATCCATGGCGTGTTCGAAGTTATGTTGGTAGATAATGTGGATCTATGTGGATCTCTTTGAAGCAGCCATACATAGCTGTCAGATATCTACAGTTAGGAAATGATTGAGGATAGTACTACTGATATTCTGAGCTTCCCCGCTGGTTAGCCAGGTTCGAGAGTATTCCAGAATACGTTTACGCAGCATACACTGTGTACCTCTGATATGCTTTGCACCACAGGAACAACACTGGTAAATGTACCACAAGGTGTACTAGAAAGACAGCTGGATTATCTGTCTTTCAGAGAGAATGTGATTCTCAAGGTAGCAGCGTGAAACATCTGTCAAACTTGGACACTGTAGTACTGATATGATTATGAGCAATAAAGAGTTGTGTTCGAAACTTCGTCATCCAGGAAATAATACTGCTTCACTGTGGGTGATTTACCTAATAAATAAATAATTATATTAAACTCCATACTACCACAGTGCCCAAGTTTTACGCTTATATAATAATATTTTTAGATGCTTGGAAAGATGGTTTCTAATGATTTCAGCTTCAACGTCACTTCTGAACTACAGGTTCATGAACAGAGTTTGCTTAGGCGCAAATGAGACCTTCGGTGGTGGCGGTTTTTGTTTCATTTCACTGTCCTATAATTTTGGTTTACTATCATTATATTAACTATTTTAATTTTATTATTGTTGCTGTTTATTCATAAAATTGCATTTCCCATACATATCTCATTTAAAGTGTGCGTCGGTGGCGCAGAGGTGGAATACTTGCCAGCCACTCACGTGGTCCGGAGTTCGGCCGACACACCCAAAATTTGCTCAGCTGGTAATAAGCCAGCCAAAGAGGGAAGGTTAGGCGTGAGGCTAGCAACTTCACCCCGTAAAAATAAAACCACCGATACCGAAACTCCAAAACTGTAGCTTGAAGCCTTATGTTCCACTGGAAACGCAAAGGAATACAATAATAATTATATATATATATAATCTCATTTAATGACATTTAAGCTTATTACATAATACCAGCCTGTGTTTTTGCTATCCCCACTTGTGCATTCCCTCCTAGATTGCCCTTCATATTACGTAAAATCTTTTCCGGAACATAACTGTATTTGATTGGTTCAAGAAGTTATCTATTAAATATGACTACGATTGTACAGCTTTTGAAGCTGATTCGCTTGTAAAGAACATTATCTTCGCTGATACTTCGTCTTCCTTTACAGTGGCTTAGCCTGGTGCCACATTCATTTATTATGGCTTCTGAAATGGCTAATACTTCGATTAGAAAGCCATCTACAAGACGCTGAAAGCCTGATATGGTAGCTATGGTGGGTCAGTAGAGGTTTTCGGAAAGTCTTTGGTCAGGAAACACTTTAAACCGTTTGGATTGACGTATACCACTAGTAACTCTTTATGATCTAGGAACCAATGAGATGAATTTAAGGCATTTCAGTCCTCTGTCCATTCAGAAAGACGGCTTCTCAGACATTCAGGATGTGGAAGTCCTAAATGGCATACACGTTAAATGAAATAATTTAGTAATTCTCATTGTGATGTGAAGAATAGAATAATCAGTGAAGTGAAGACAGATTCAATTTATATTAAACGTGTTTTTAAAGTACTTTGGGAAAATTTTTCTATACTTTGCCCGCCTGCTTGAATCATTCGGCTATCTAAGACAGTGAATCATAAAGTGTTTGGAATGTGATGCGATATACGTCAGACAAACATCGCGGGAAATCAAAATCAGAAGAAATGAACACCGAGAAATCCAGTTGAAATAGAAAAAAACTTAAAAAATCATCAGCCATAGGTCGTCTACACTCCATAGAATCAGGCCACAAAATTGATTTTGACAATATTGAAATAATCCAGAAAAACATTTCAGAAATCACAAAGAACGTCTAATATCAGAAGCACTGTCTGAATAGGAATGATGGACTAAAACAGAATTTGACCTGGTTACAACACCTCCCTCCCTCCCACATGAAGTGACAAAATCAACACAAATGTGATAAGCAATTTCATTATGTAAACACACGCTGCTTTCATAATTTTATACACTTATCAAATCCAACAATCTACACCTGATTTTGTTATCTTCACCAATTGATCAACTTGACAACGCAAAAATGACCCCATTCTGAGGAACGATGATTAAGTTGTTGTATATAAGCTGAGATTTTGTAAATTCTGGTTTAATAATACCATTTTGATAAAACTATTAGTGGTATTAAATAGCGAAACGTCAGTAAAAACAACGACAGTATCGTTTTGTTTTTCATTCATTGGGAAATACAAATAACCTTTATTATAATGAAAATTTTCTCCAATTCTTATTGTCTTAATCATTCATTTATGTCTTTGAGTCGGAAAATGTACTCATGCACATTTTCAATTGGCTTTCAAACTGCCAGTGAGGATTTCGAGGACACAAAGTAAAAAATATGTTAAGAGACTAGTCTATGCCTCAGATATAAAATGATTGCGTCATTTGATATGCAAAGACTGCTATTTTATTTGAAGATCCTGGAGGATGAGGAGAAAATGTTATGCAATAAATTACTCAGAGAATTTCGTACACTGTATGACAATTTTGATCAGAATAAAACTTTCTTCGGTTTTATAACTTAATATAAGAATTTTCCGTTCAATTCAGTTGATGTCAATCAATAATGACAGTTTATTTATTGTTTTGATATTTCAAACCGAATTCTGTAACTTGACAAAAATGGGTGGCAAATGTGCATTTTCCATCCTTTTCTCAATCCAAGGAGTCCATTTCACAAGACTATTGTACTGAAAAGTATCACCACCAGGTCAATTGAAGACAGAGCACTGACTAGTTTAAAGATCATGCACATTTTAAACAGCTTCTGTATCATTAGTTACCACATAACAGCTGATAATTTAAACAGTTCAACGAAGATATATTCTTACTGTCTACATTAAAACATTAACCCAGTATCAGAGTCCAGAATACCCATTGTAATAAAATTGTATGATCCAGAATCAAAGTATCAGTAAACCGAATTCAAAGTAAATAGCTCAAAGTTGGAGGTGAAAAAATAGCTACTGTGAGGTGTTTTCGCGCATAGTTTTAAGCGCACACCACAAAATATACTCCAACTGTGTAAAAGACTTGATAAAACCCCTTTTTAAAACATCCCAGTGTAACATCTGATGATATGAACACAGTATTCCTGAAAGCATGTAACACAAATACCTGAGGAAATTCAAACCGTAAATGACCGCCACTGTTGTTTTACCTATTCAGGCATATTAAAACAAAAGCTCATCAAGTCTGTTTCACTTTATGTTATATATACACAATATAAAGTTAAATATCATTTGAAATAAATAATCAATAATGATCAATCAATAAAGCAGTGATAATAGCAGTCTTAATAAAAAAAACAAGCAACTAATAATGACTTACTTCTCTTTACCAACTTTCCCATTGACTTCTATACAATCACCATACTGAAGAGTAGATGGCAATGAGAATTCAAATTTCATTTTTGTTTAAAACTTTTTCCCAATTTCAAACTATTATATATCAAATGATATTCTTTATTATGTATTTACGACTAATTATTAGCGTCTTAATTTAAATTTCCCTCTCAAATAATATAAACTTCATTGAATGCTTTAAACAAGGTATCAAATATGTATGTAACTGCGGAAATTGAATATTGAATACTATTCAATTAGAAATCATAATACGATTTGTAATAATGACAATGTTTTCAGGTGGTAGTGATAGAAAAACTGTTTGACAAGTGATGACAACTGATCATATTATTTGGTGACAGTATGTATGATTTTTTTTTCTTTCGTTTTCCGTTGAGAAAAAAAATTCAGAAGAGAACAACCTTTTCAGAAGTGCTGATTCATTATTCATTTAAAGACTAGTATGAATGAATATGTCCTTTGTCTGTGTGTGTGTGTTTGTTTGCGTGTTTGTGCTGTCTTATTCCAAACCAAAGTAAAATAAGAAGGCTTTGTTATTCAGTTATAATGAGACACGTGGATATAAGCAATCACTCATACAGAGAAACTTCGGCATGGGTTTTTCATTGTCCACCCACGTCTTGTGTATTTATGTACATATTGACAACGTATACAAAGTATTATATATATTTGCTAACAATACCTTTTACTCTGTGATATTATTCAGTAAGTATTTACGGTGGTGAACACGGACACACATATGCAACTAAACAGGCACCTGCACACACACGCACACATTTTAGACACAATAGTTTTGGTTGGTTCTACTTTTTTGGCACCTAATCGATCATTGGTAGTTAGGTCCACTGTAATTGCACCAATAAGCAAGACGAACATTTCTACTGGTTACTCATATAGACTACTGCTACTACCAGTCAGTCAGTTAGTCTGTATTACTAAGCACAATTAGTACAAAATAAGTTTGTGATAACTCAAAATAATGATTGATGAATCGATTCTGGAGAAGAAAAGTCGACTAGTCGACTGTCAAACAAACAACTTCACTTCTGCAGTGTATCGTTTGTTTTTATCAATTTTAAAAGACGTCATAAATACTGGCTGGATCCTGAAAAGCTTCCATAATGGGGAAAATTTATTTTGATAAAGCCTCACAGTGTTGTTATACGGTGGTATTTACTGATGACCACCTTTCGAGCACAATTTATTACTACGGCTGATAATCATATCACATCAGGTTACTCACACAACTTTCTGACTCTGTTCATATAATTGAGATCACCAATATCCTCAAACGTAGCAGATATCTATATGGATACCTGGGAAAATACGGCCCTTAATATATTTGTTTAATCCTATTTCAAAAAATATGGTGGAGATATGTGGATGACACTTTCACAGTGTTCACACACAAGATCGTGCTTTTTATGCACTTACTTTCTCCGCTGCTGAACCAAGCTGGTAAGTGTTCTCGAAGCCGTAGACGAACCTGCCTTGTCGTATGCCCCTGAATCATTGGAACAGTTGAAATGGCATATGCATGAAGAAGAGCTAAGATTAGGTAAGACATCTTTGAGTTTCTGGGTGAACATTGCACGGCTGCTGAAAGATAGACACATACGTGCAGAGTAGGAAGTTTTCTTGATCACCCTGGCTAGACGTTGTGATAGAATATCCTCAGGAGGCTCTCCCTTGAAGTGTAGACGTAAAAACAGAGGCGTTTTCTCCGCCGTTGCCAGTTCGTGTTTACGACTATTGTAACCTATGTCGGCTTTAATGAACTTCTCTGAATATCCATTCTCGCTTAGAATGTCTCGGATGACCTGGAGTTCTTTCTCTGCACAGTCTTCGGAAAAAATGGACCTCGGTCTATATGCTAAGCACCTGATCAGATTTCGTTTGTTTTTCATCGGTACAAAGCTAAGAAAACGTGTGTAGTGAGCTTTGGTCTCTAGAATTCTTAATATGGTTCTTTTGACGGAACCATCCTCTCCTCTCGTTAGTAGGAAGTGCAGAGAGTCGTTATATTCTTTTTCACAGGTGAAATGGAAATAGTCACCGCTGGGTGAGCATTATTGAAGTTGCTCAAAATCAAATCACTACGTAACCCTTAATCGTACACTAGAAAAATGTCATCCAAGTGAGGACAATACATTTCCATTTTTGCTATTTCATCTTTCAACGGACTATTTTCTAGTTTAGCTAGAAATATATTCACGAAAATAGGTTTTAGTGGGGATCCCATGGCCACTCCATCAACCTGTCTGTGCATTTCATCATTAAACCAGAAATGAACGTTTTTCGTACATTTAACAGATTACTAATAGGAATATCAGTGCACAACATCCTTTCTATAATCTGTTTGCAGATATAACCGGTGGTTTCCAAAAGAGGCACATTAGTGAATGGAGAAGAGACATCAAGGGATGCCATGCATTTACCAGTTGCTTTCAAGTTTTTAATCTTGTCGACAAATTGAAAGGTATCCTTGACGCTATGCTTCACTAACTAGTCATGCAAGCGTTGAAGTAGCTGTACCAGCCACTTTGCCGTCTCTTGATAGGGTGAATGAGACATGTCTAGTATGGGACATAGGGGCACTCCTGATTTATGCACTTTCGATAGACCAAACATGCGTGAGATGGTGCGCCCTGTGGATTTTATGTTTTCGAAAGTTTTTGGTGATATATACCCTCTACCTTTCAAATATTTTAATAAGTTTGTTATTTCTCTCTCTACTTTTTCCGTATTGTCTTTCATTACTTTCGGCTTCTGAAACGTGCTGCGGTTATCTAGTATGGGGTTCATCTTGTTAGTGCAATCCTGCCTTTCCACAAGGCAGTCTTTTAACAGACTCGCGATGCTCTTTTGTTAGTATACTATGGAGCTTATTCTTATCCTTCTGTCTATACTGATAGCAACAGTAACGATGGTAGTAATACGTGTAGTAATATGCAGTCAATTCAATAAATAAGTAAATTAGGTCAAATCTTACAAGTTACACAATACTAAAGGCGAAGTGGACAGATAATCAGAGTTTATATGAACATCATAAAAGTACGAAGGAAATGAAAAATAAGGAAGAGTGGGAAGGCTTTGATTGGAATTTACCTGGGCAAGCAAGGGACAGACAAAGATGGAACAAACTTCTGTATGCAAAGACAAAGACTGTTCTCTCGAATCAATTCCCATAGCTTTGGCTATGTGTAAAAGACGAGTTCGAATTCTGTTCGAGAGGTTCGATGGAATGTGATAGATAACTTTGAAGGTACTATTTCTGTCCACTTGGTGACCACAATGACAAATCGAATGAGACAAAATAGAACTTCTTACAGATTTTATTTGGCCTTTTCCAAACCATGAAGGAAGATGCTCATTAATGAGTTTGTTAAGCTGTCTAGTTGTTCGCCCTATATAGCTGTCTCCACAGGAGCAACTAAATTTGTAGATACACATAGAAGTGGCGCAGCTACGTAGCTTGTCATTAGCTTCAGCAATCACGACTGGTAGTCTGAAAAATGACAAACAGAGGGTGGTAGCAACATAAGTCCGTTTCATCGCCCTAGATAATTTTAGATGTAGGACTTCAATAGCCACGTGCCCACTAAAGTATAGTTTCAGGAATAATTGTTCCTTCATTATACCTGGTGTTCATGTGTCTGCTTACAAGTCTCCTAAGATAAGCCATTTAGAGCAGCATATTTTGGATGCATCCTCATTCCTTTTTTAAGGAGTCATCTGTACAGGTACGTCTTGCCCTATTCCTGAGCCATCTGACTAAACTGATTTTATTTTGGATTGGTGGAAAACTGAAGAGATGTGTATACTGTCCTACAGATGTAGGTTTTCTATAGACATCTTGGTTCGGAAAAGGCCAAATAAAATCTGTAAGAAGTTCTATTTTGTCTCATTCGATTTGTCATTGTGGTCACCAAGTGGACAGAAGTAGTACCTTCAAAGTTATCTATCGCATTCCATCCAACCGTTCGAACGGAATTCGAACACACCTTTTACACATAGCCGAAGCTATGGGAATTAATTCGAGAGAACAGTCTTTGTCTTTGCATACAGAAGTTTGTTCCATCTTTGTCTGTCCCTTGCTTGCCCAGGTAAATTCCAATCAAAGCCTTCCCACTCTTCCTTATTTTTCATTTCCTTCGTACTTTTATGATGTTCATATAAACTCTGATTATCTGTCCACTTCGCCTTTAGTATTGTGTAACTTGTAAGATTTGACCTAATTTACTTATTTATTGAATTGACTGTATATTACTACACGTAATGCTACCTTTGTTATTCTTATAGCCACCTGCATAAACCTTATGATCATTATTTTGTTATCATTATAATCATCGTTATTATTGACGTTCAAAACATTCACCACATTATTATATTTATCATTATTTCATTTACAAACTCATCATCATTGGTTACAATTTGTATGTCTAAATCTATGTAAATTAGAGTAAAGTTAGAAGAAGATCTTATTGAAAATAACAGCGATATTGTTCGCTTTTATGTCTTGTTCTAATACGTACTGGTTAGCTAATACATGAGTATCCCATTCCAGCATGTTTCAGAACATTGATACGTTTGCGTTTATTTCAAAAGATATTTCACCGTACAGCTTTCATTCGACTAGTATTTTGTGGTTGGTGGCACAATGGTTAGGACTCTCGCCTACCATGCACATGGGTAGGGGTTCGATCCCCTGCCGACGCACACCTGATATCTATAGTCGGCCTGCAAAATTTGGGCTACCGATATCAAATGCTGAAAATTCCATACCTGTACCAAAATATACGGTGTGGAATCAAGCTGTAATCAAAACAAAAATTTGTCGTTTTGACGCAAGTCCACCCAGTGTGTCTAATAGATAATCGCAGTTATATTCGTTTAAAAATACAGTAATCAGCGGAGAACATATTCATTCATATCACAAGTAACGATCAAAATCCAAATATTTCGCCATGATGGTAAGATACTAGTCACTGGAACAAAATTAGTACAACCCACGTAACTTACTGCACTCTGTTCTAGAGTTTACAAAGACTTTGTGAGTCACATACAGACAAAATTTACATTCTAAAAATATCAAAACCTAATTTAATCAAATAAAATTTGTGATACCATTATATGATGATGGTAATAATAATAATAAGTTGTACCAAATATACGAAAATACCTAAGCAGTGTCATCACGTGGCTATACAGTCCAAAAGTTTTTTCAGGTACAAACGCGTATTGTGCAACAAAAGATTAATTAACCAAGCACAACTTTCCAATGCCTGAGAAAAGAAAAAAATATTCCAAAAAATATAGGGGGGGGATTGAATAGAAAACAACACGTTTTCAACAGAGAGTCGAAAGACAAGAAGCCACTCTGCGGCACAGCTTTGAGTTTACTCAAATAAAGCATTGACGTTAGTAAAAACAACACAGCAGTTAAGAATCACACACTGGTAAAGTGAGCCATTCACAGTAAAAATTAAGACAAGCATTGAAGTTTAACAGACTTAGTGCTTGTAACATATTTGGATACCCTTCTAAGCAGATGAATTTTATCTGAAAAATGTCATGTACTTGAGCAATGCAAATAATAAAGATTAAGTTAAAAGAAGACATACAAAATACCAGGATGACGTTAAAAGCTGATATACTC